TAGTAGTAGTAGTAGTAGTAGTAGTAGTAGTAGTAGTAGTAGTAGTAGTAGTAGTAGTAGTAGTAGTAGTAGTAGTAGTAGTAGTTGGATAATTATAGTAGTAGTATATAATAGTAAAAAATAACATATAATATTTCGGTAAAAGTAACTAGTAGGTACCTAGTAATTTACGAGTAGTGCATACGCACTTTTCAACCGTTTGGCGCCACACGTCACACACACGCACATTAGGCTTCGATTTTTTTCCCCTTTTATAATTTTGCACGTTATTCAAAGTCGTGCGCGCTCTTTCTGTGATGGGGATTATATATTATAATATATTACGATATTATAATCATAATACGCCCAAACCGTAATGAGTTTAATTTTTTATTATTTTTTTCTTTGGCTTAAAAATATCGTTTATTAGTGAATATAATAATATTGTTACAAACAATACATTAAAATTTTAAAAATATATGATTTTGATTTCTTTCAAATATTTTAAAATTAATTTATTAACTTCCTTAAATGTAGTGTGGAAATTAAAAAAATCCTATTTTCGTTGAAATGTATTACTTAATTTTACAATTTTGGTATTATTATAAATACCTGTGTTTATATTTTATTTACTCATGTTATTAATTATTAGTTATGTGTAACTATCATACTACATATTTTATTGATACATTTTTATTCGTAATTCCCCCATTATTCGTTATTTATTACATTTGTGGAATTAAACATAAAATAGGCAATTACTATATAAACTTATGAGTTATAATAAACTCAATATGTAGTATTAATCATTTGTTTTAAAATTAATGCAAAAATTATGATTTTATTATTCTATAGTTCAACACCTTATTTTACCAATATAATAACTTATGGCTTTTTTTAAAAAATTGTCAATTTTTAATTAATATACCTATTATTCATTTTATTCCTTGCTTCTTCAGATAAGACTTATCATATAACTTTGTTCAACTAAACTTAACTATACATACTATATATTTTAAAACATCAGTTATTTACCTTTAGTAAATATGTCTAGTTTTAAATGAGAAAAATATTAAAATAAAATCAGCTATAAATTATGACTATAACTGATAAATGCAAAAACATATTTGTTGGACAGATTTCTGTTACGGCTCGAGTTTTTAGGTATTTTATATTCAATTTTGATGATTTGAGTTTTGTAATATGCCACAGAATGGCTTGGTAAATATGATTTTTAAGGTGTATATAGTTAAAATATAAATACGTTAAGAATATTGGGTTTATCTTTACAAGTATGCAAAACCAACTTGTTAAACCATTTAAAAAAAATATACTAAGTATTTATTTTTTAGATAATTTTTTAGCCAAACAAATTTTGGTTAGGTTCTTTTGTGGCCATGGATTAAACAAATTTATATTATGCAATATCAAAGTAGTCGATTTATGCGATATTTAGTAAATATTTTTTACTGCTTGTTAAAATCAAATATCTAGCTATTTATTAAGATATTTTTTGATATCTTTGTAAGTTTCTTATACTAGGTAATTTTAAAATATTGAATCTGATTACAAGTAATTGGTAGGTCCACAACGAGTGGAGTGGTCAAGTATGGCGTATATGACGTATGAAATGTATATTTAAAATAAATACTATTGTGTGTTGTATTTATTAATGATGTGGCTAATTTTTGTATCTTACAGTCAATATAGAATATCAAAAAATAAAAGTGACAAAATAAACAATTTTAGTTTAATAATGTATATATAGTTTTTCTTATCATTTGACAATTTACTGTTATAATTATTTTATACAAATCAATTTATTTAAATAAAACAAGAAAGTGGTGGATATATTTTCTATTTTATATATAATTTACAAATATATTTAAGTATGCCTACATTTTATAACTATATGAAAAATTTAATTAAAAATAAAATACTATTGATACTATAACGCATATTATTTCATGATTATTTAAATTATAAAATTAACTGATATTAGATACATTTAATAATTATTTCAATAATTACGATTAACTGAGCAATTATAGTACCCACTGATTCGTAGTATGCATAGTATTTATAGAAAATTTGTTTCATAACATGGTATTTATAATATTTTTTTGTTTTAATCGATAAAATGTAATTGAAATGTTACAATAGTTTTAATAGAATTTAGGGAGTGAAAAAATTGACCACCCAGTTCTTAGTACAATTAAATATTTTGAAATATTAAGATATTTAAAATAAGTTGGTTGAAAAATAATGGATAAATATAAAGTATTGAGAGTATTTGAAGTAGTAAAATAAATCGTACCTAAATTGTCACAAAATGTAGTTTTAAAAATAATATACAGTTCACACATAAAAAGTTATGATATACGTATTAATATCATTTAGATGCTTAGCATATTTAATGTATTCGTTTATTTAAATAATTTTACATTTATAAATAAAAACAATTAAGTTATAATAATAATAAAAACAAATTATCGATTGTAAAAAAATAAAAAGTTTATTTTTTTGTTCACATTTGTTAATATTCCAAGATTGAAATTAATATTTTATTCACTGTATTACTATACTCTAAAGTAATTTTAAATTTACAATTTTTTTTGTACTTATTAACTACATATAATATTATTTAGTTAGTTAATTTTTGGTATATTTTATTGAATTTATGTAGCTAAGGTCTGATAGTTTAAATTAATAAATAATATGACGGTTATACTCAAAATGCAATTTGAAATCAATTTAGTATTTATTTTTTAAAAATAAAATTATGAGAAAACAGAAAAAAAAATAATAAATCTATGATAAATGAAATTAAAAAAAATAAATATTTTATGCAACTAAGCACATTCTATTTAACAGTCAGCATTATAATATCGCATTGCTGTATGGAAATAGGTTACCACAATATAACAATATTATTTGTATAAAAAGTGTATAAACAAATGCCTCGGGGTATATTGTTCTTTATAATAAAATTATATATAGTTCAAGTTTATAAATTATATTTGGATAACATTTCATCCTTTGTAAATGAGTTAGTCCCCTTGGATTTATTTTAAATAACGTGTTATGAACATTTTAAACTTAAAGTAGTCATTTATTTAATTTTCTACTTTTCTACTAAATAATGGAATTGACCGTTTTCTAAAAATATATTCATTACTATAAAATCGCATACAAACATAATAATGACAACAATATCTTATACTTTGAGTAGGGCCGATTGATTAAATGAGATTAAATAATTAATTTGGACTAATATTAATATCGGTTATATATTTTGCTTTTATTAAAAACTACTGTGATTAAAAGAATTGTTTCAAGTAGGTCCAAATATTTTGATGCTTTAAATAATATCAATTTTTCAGTTAATTGGCGGATAATATTAAATTAATCAAATTATTTAAACTGAATTCATAACTAATATATAATTATGAATATATATGACTATTCGTTTTTGAATGATAATAAAAATATTAAATTCGTGATTTTACGAGTGACTATCTAATCTTGTTAACATTTAAAATTCAAATATTTGAGAGATCACACTGAATTTTTTTTTTAATTTTTATAAATAAAACTTATCAGAATTATCGTGTTAATTGTTTAAACCTTAGCTATGAATATTAAAAATTTTATGAACGTTTTACTATAAAATGATTTGATGAAATTGGTCAACATATTTTATACCTTAGATGCTCATAGAATTTTTTTTTGTAGAACTAATCTTAATTTTTAATTTCACTAATTACTATTTTTGGCGAACTTTGTATAAAATATTTTAAGTATTTTAATTTATCAAACATTTTAATATTTATATTATATTATAGTTAAAATATTTTTAAAATGTTATTATTACGTGAAAAAAAAATGTGTAAATAATTCTACGTGGTTATTTATTTTTGAGTTAAGCCAAAAAAACAAAATTTATATTGTTAAAAACTAGATTTGCCTAAAAAATACCGTTTTTCTTTATATATTTTTTTTTTCTAACGCATTTGATTACTGCTGTGAATTTTTTGTTTTTAATCCCTGAAAGTACCAATTGTTATAATTGCTTAACTTTCAAAACATAAATTGAAGTTGA